GGCGCTTTCTTCTATCTGTGTTAGATCTCAAGTAGTGGATGAATGTAGGAGAGAGCTGGCCTAAATTTCTGATCAATACGAGATTACCCTAATATGGATCCCGGGACATAGGGGCATCTACGGAAGGAAGTTTCCAGAAGTGTCACGGCAACGACTTCAACCTGGGAATGGTGCAAAAAAATGTGCCGCGAATGGATTACATCAAAAATGACGGAAAAGGAAAAAGCCAGAAATAACAACTATTTTTACTCAAAAAGAAGGTTTCTCCTGGTGTTGTTGTTTGCATAGACGGAACACATGTACATATCATGGGACCGGAGGAACACGTTCGCCACTTATTCGTGAACAGGAAAGGATATTTTAGCTTGGATGTTTACTTTCAAGAAGATTTTGTAGTCGCTAAATACGATGGGATCGTTTATTTTGCTCTACAATCAAAAATTCTTGAGAAATTCAAGAAAATCTGGAAAAAAAGGGGAAAAATATAAAATTTTCACTTTTAATGCTTAAAATTTATTGTTTAGAATTTGTTTTTATCAACTAAAGATACCCAGGATCGTAGGCCATTCAAAGAGCTTTAAAACTAAGAAATAATTTAGTTGAATCGGTGTCAAGATACGAGCGAATTTCTAAAACGGTGTTTTCTTTTCAACATTTTTGATGTCGGTCAAATGTGTTCGGCGTGAAGGCTTTTAATTTTTCGTCACTTTAGGTTTAAAATTTGTTTTCGTCATGTCGTTGTGAAAAACTGAAAGCAGTTCAATCTTCTACTTCGATCTTGTCGGACGCCTCCAATTTATATTCAGTTTTCCTTTGGTAATATAATTAAAAATGATCTCTGCAAAACGATCCCACAAAAGCAATGGAAAATTGTGGCTTCTTAAGTGTACCCGAAAGCTTATCACGGAAATGTCAGAACTAACAAATAAAGAAGTTTTACAGGAATTCTTGTACCACATTAGTTTAGGGCAGACGATAATTGACAGTGCCAACAATATTGCAGACTCATTACTTCAGTATTATCATGACCCGAACTCTTTGTTGCTGAAGCGGAATATTGTGCAAAAAATTGAAAATCTCTATGAAGAATACGCAAGTGTGAGGAAAAGCCCGTATTTAAATTATACGGCAACTCTGAAAACAAGACACGAGTTTATGAATAAATTACACGCAATGTTCATCATGCACGTGAAGCCAACAAGGAAATTCTAGAAACTAAATTTAGAATGTAAGAAAGGCTGAAAACGGGGGTAAAAATATTCACAGTAAACTGTTTGAGAAGAAGAATTACATACATATATGTATATAGATAAAATCGTAATAAATCATTTTTTTCATGTATTTTCTTTACGTCTGTTAATTTTGTCTGCAAGTTCCCTATCCTGATAAGATACGTCTACACCTTGTGATGATTTCCAAGCATAGAAACTTGAAACTTACCCCCAGAGTCGGTTTCATGAGTCATTTAACCCGTTACCCGGAACATTAATATTTTTACCATTAGCACCGTTTTAGAAATTTGCTCGTTTCTTGATACCGATTAAACCAAATTATACCGATGTTTTTTAGTTTTAAAGCTCTTTGAATGGCCTACGATCCTGAGTATCTTTGGTTGATAAAAACAAATTCTAAACAATACATTTTAAGCATTAAAAGTAATATTTTATATTTTTTCCTCTTTTTCCAGATTTTCTTGAATTTCTCAAGAATTTTTGATTGTTTTTTCCAGATTTTCTTGAATTTCTCAAGAATTTTATAAATGATCCCATCGTGTTCAGCGACCTCGAAAGCATATCGTCGCTTGTTAAAAGATTGATTTCTTAAAAACGCGAAGATAGATTTTCTCTAAAGTCTCTGAAAATGTTACTAGTTCACAAAATTCTTAAATTATTTAATTTTTAATGTTTATTGTTAATTAGTTTTGAGTTTATGAAGGATTTTCTTTAGTAAAATTTTGTTGTGAGCGTCATTTGTTCACAATTTAGCAGCCACTTTTTATGAAATACGACAAAATGTGATCAACATTTCTACTAAATTAACGACACTTTTTACTCAATATCTCGGAAACTAAAGGAGATATCCAAAACTGTAGAGCGCCATTTTTAAGATATTGATTAGTTTAATATGACTGCATCACAAACTAAATTTTTATTAAATTATCGAAAAAATTGTTTCAATATCTCGGAAACTAAAGGCGATATCTAAAAACTGATAACACCAATCGAAATACCTTATTTCCAAATATATAACTGCATCTAGAACTAAAAGTCGTCAAAATTGCGCTTACGATAATCTCTTACCCAGGCGACGATATGTTTAGCCTATTTGCGCGTAAATTTTCCACAAAATCTACCCTTGCCATCTTCTTGAACACGCTGTTAAATATTTGAGCCCGAAATTGTACAAAACTGAGACTCACATCGCGTTAATATTTGAATTTCGCAACTAGACTTGGTAAGGTGCGTTTTTACAAGAAATCGAAAGTTTTTAGCATCAGCCTCAAAAAAGTAACGACATCGAGTAAAAGTGGGTCAGTCTAGTGTCTATCGTAAGTGCGTGTTGCGCGTTATACAATATTGGATTACACTAGAAAGCCGATTGGGAAGATCCGACAGTACCTCGAAAAGCTGCAGTTTAAATTTTAATGAAAATGTTGGTAATTATTTGGCGTCAGATATAAGAAATAGAATAATGCAATGTTTGAATGAATACAAATTTTAATTTTCCTTATATAACAGAATTCATTTTATTTTATTTTTTTTTTTGTTTCCCTTAAAATCTGCAAAAACCTAAATTTAATTCAATCAATTTCAGTTTCATTTATCTTAAAATCTACACAACAAAGCGTTAAATTCAATCACATTGAGTTTCATTTATCTTAAAAACTACAAACAATAACATTAAATTCAATCACATTCAGTTTTATTTTTCTGAAAAAATATTTTAAAAAAATCAATTCAGTCGCATGTTAATTCGTCTTAAAAATTATACTAAATAATTGGCCAATTGTCATTTTAAGTACATATCGCACACCAAATCAAAAACCGTCACAACTCAAAAAATCCTATATGTTCAGGAGAGCCAAAAAACTGTTGTTGCTGCGCAATCGACGCAAGCAAAACTAAAACAGTTTTAGTAGTATTTTTCCACTTAAAGAAGATAGTGATGAAAAAGAAATTTTCGCGGACGTTGGGTATACGGTTTGTGAACTGTTTTATGGAAAAAAATAAATTTTCAGTTGTGCCTTTTTTTTATTTAGGGTGCGATATATTCACCGAAGGCGAATTTATATAAGGTGGTGTTATTAGCTCAGCTGATTTTGTATATGTCGAGCCCTAACCGCCAAAATAACGTAAGCGACATTTTTTTCAAAATTTTATTTTGGATGCAGAAATATTCCTAAAGCATCTAGATGCATTTCCGCATCAAAAATAAAATTTCGAAAAAAATGTCGCTTACGTTATTTTGGCGGTTAGGGCTCGATGTGTTTCGCCGCACGGCTTCTGATATCAAATTGAAAAATTTTGTTTGAATTTCTACACACACTCTTACAGATTTTGACAGTTTATGCCGCCAAAACAAAAACAAAATACATGTAAATTTTTGTTTTTGTACTCCTGCTATCACCTTATATTAATTCGCCTTGTATTCACCACTTCATTCAAGCTAGGAAAGCTGTTTCTTGAGAATTTCAAGCGTTGCTTGGTTCATTTCTTTTTTTATCTGCCTTTCTTCCACAAATATTTTGTATTTCTTTTTTTATTTCTAGACCTTCCTTCAACACTTGAAGTTTCTCTTTTTTTAAACCTTTCATGTCTTTCAGAATATAATTTTTTCTTCTAATATTTTGTCAATACTTTGAAGAGTTGACAGCACAGTTTGCGTTGAAGTTTGTGTTTGGGGCACATGAACATTTGTGTTTTCCGTTCTTGGTCTTTTTTTGTGTGGCTGCTCTGCTCTTAGCTGCTGTTTACTTCCCCCTTGTTGTGATACCTCCTTTTGCTGATTTGGTGCAGGTATTCTCTTGCTCCTCAGCAGTGTCTTTCTCAGGTAGGACAGTACGGCTGACTTCCAAAACGTATCAATACAATGTTTGGAAACTGTTATACTGCGATATTCAAACTGTTTCTATATGCAGAGTTGCGACACATTGCAACCATATACATTGCATATTTTAAATATTCAATATAGCAATGAATTAAGATAGAAAAATTTAATCTTACCCTTCGACGTCGGCCATTGTTTACTTCGAAATGTCATCAAAGTATCAATTAGCTTAGCGAGTCGCAGTTTGCTTTCTGTATACGCATCGATAACTTTTACGATACATTTTGGGACATGCCACATCGTCAAAAATTACACATTTGCATTTAGGAATGCGTCACTTTGTATAGTTGCTTTGCAACTGACATTTTGGAACTCAGCCTACTTTGTACTAGCTCAAACACTTCTGACGAGTCCCCGCCAAAGATGACATCTTCCGGATTAACCGACAGATTCATTTGATGTGCGTGTTTGCGGACCGTAGCTATTTAATTCTTCTGATACATCTTTCCATATACCTTCAGTGGTTGCCTTTGTTTCTCCAAAAGCGCGCATACCAGGTGGAATTGATGGATTTATCTCCACGTTCTGTATTAGCGCTTCAACCTGTTGTTTCGTTGTAATTGTCACCATTTTGACGTCTACAAACATAAGGAAACATTATATAAGTTAGAAAATATATGTATATGTCCATAAATTATTAGAAATTTAATGATAAATTATACTCACTTTAAATTTTATCTCGAATATTCCCTTAGAATATTTAACTGCACAGCAACCACAAAAATGCAATTGCCACGATGCACACTTTGTGGCAACTTCAGTTGAGAGTTGAGAGTTGCCATCGATAATATCGTTTCGGCAGCTGGCAACGCAACTGAAGTTCGGTTGCTAACGATAATCGACCCATTAATTTATTTCGGAATTATTTTGCTATCTGGACGCGTGTAAATGTCGTTTAATGAAACGTGAAATGGCTTGCGTGTTGCTTAGCGAATGCTGCAGCAATTATAGCCGCAGCAACCAGCTTCAGACTGCCTCACTTGTAATAAGGTATTACCACTATGTATACGTACATACATATGTATGTGCATACATATTCATTGCTCTCTGCAGCACCTTAATAGTTAAACTTTTAATGATCGGACTAACACCTGTCGAAGTGGACTGGACTAAACGTCGAAACGAATAGTTTTTAGTACAGTGATAGACGGCAAACCGTTAAGTCCGCAATTTAAGGTCGGTGAATGTAATATAGATTTCTTTGTGCTTAAGACGTGTGGTAATCAATTTAAAAAATTAAAATTCTAAAAGCAAATGTGTCACATATTTACACACATACATATGAACGTATATATGCAATAGAAAAATAGTTTTTCAACCTTTTTAAATTAAAAAATATAAATCGGAGCAAAATGACCACGGAATTTGTTATCAACGGCACTCCCTACACTGGTAAATATAAACTAATATAACACAAATATGGATATGTAATTGGATAGCAATTAAAGTGTTTTGAGTTTTAGTAAATTTGACTAATTTTCCACCCGACATCACATTGAATACCTATATTCGAGAACATGCACAGCTAACGGCAACTAAATTCATGTGTTTAGAGGGCGGTTGTGGTGCTTGCGTTTGTGCGGTCAAGGGTAAACATCCCGTTAGCGGTGAAACACGTACATGGAGCGTCAATTCAGTAAGTTTGCAAAACCGAGTACATACGTATGTATGTATGCATGGGTACTTATTCAAAATCATATTTATCTTGTTTAAAGTGCTTAACCCTTTTGAACACCTGCGCTGGTTGGGAGATCATAACAGATGAAGGTATTGGGAATAAACATATTGGCTACCATCCCATTCAAAAACGGTTAGCCAAGATGAACGGCACCCAATGTGGCTTCTGCTCGCCTGGTTTTGTTATGAATATGTATGCCTTACTTGAGTCAAAGGGTGGAAAAGTGACAATGGCGGAAGTGGAGAATGCATTTGGCGGCAACATTTGTCGCTGCACTGGTTATCGTCCGATATTAGATGCGATGAAATCCTTTGCCGTTGATAGTACGATTGACGTACCGGAGCAATGTAGGGATATTGAAGATTTTGAATTTATCAGTTGTCCAAAGACAGGATTGCAATGTGCTGGTAGCTGCCATAAGCCCCTAACCTCTTTGGTCTACGCAGACGGCACGCAGTGGTTTTGGCCCCGATCACTCTCTGAGCTGTTTGATGCATTATCCAAAATAGGAAACGACGAGTTCATGTTGGTCGCCGGCAATACAGCTCATGGCGTGTATCGACGTTCGCTGGAGCTAAAGCATTATATTGACGTGAACGCCGTCTCTGAGCTAAAACAGCACGCAATTACTAATGACAAATTAACACTGGGTGGGAACCTTAGTTTAACTGAAGCGATGGAAATATTCCTAGTGGCCGCTGAGAATTCTGGTTTCGAGTACTGCCAACAATTGTGGCAACATTTCGATCTAATCGCGAATGTGCCAGTTCGTAACGTAAGTACTTTTTGTGTTTTGTTTGTGAAATTTTTATTTTTGTGTCTAACAATTGACGATAATTTAAAGTCTGAGATAAGACAACACTTCGCAGCTTATTGAACACCCATACCACTCTTGTTGAAGTGTTGAGTATAGTTGATAAATATGTATGAATATATGTACAAAAATACATAAGCGTACAGGCCCGGCCTTAACCATTTATGCGCCCCATTTCATTTCACGTCATAATTAAACCCATTAATTCTCGAAGAAAATTAAAATCAATCCGGAACGGTTAAATAATGATTATTAATCCTAATGGTTATTAATTAGTTCATGTTAAAAAAAAACTGTTTAATGATTAAAAACTATAGTTTGTGCTTTACTAATGATCACTAATTGACTACATTTAAAAATAATCATGATATTTTTCCAGTCAATAAAAAAGTCGAAAAAATTAATATTTTGAAAAAATTATTTGCGTTACATATATAGTCAGTGTTGCCATTTTGGTGCTTTTGGAGCTAGATATAGCTCTTTGCTTTTCTATTTAGCTTCAAAAATTGGGCTTAAGCTCCTGGCTCTTTTTTAGCTCGTTTCAAAATTATCTAGCACTTATTTAGCTCCAAAAAGTTTTAGTTGTATTTGGTATTACAGTGAAAGCCGCTTAATTACCTCCCGAAAAATGTTAGTTTTTTGAGGTACTTAGGCGGGTTGGGTACTTAAAAGAACCCGCTTAAGTACCCGCATCGGGGTACATAACATAACATAATTATTGATGTAGTTACATCTTCTTGTTAAGTTGGATATATCATTTGGGACCAAATTCAATATGATATTGTTTGCCACTTATGTGTATTTATTAGTTTTTAAGATTTTTCAATCAATTAAAATACAGTTCATTCCCTAACAAATACCATATAAACCTAAGCTTAAGATTTTGTAGAACACTTAAAAAAAATTATCAAAATTTAAAAAATTTTTCTCAGAAGTGTTTTTGAGTATGTATACAGTTTCATAGCCCATTCAATTTCAGTGTAATAATGTGCAAGTTTATAGTGACTAAAAATTACCGTTGATTTTTTAGATTTTTTACCGACGGTGTATAGCGCTGCCACTGAATTTCAAAATATGTAAATATTTTAAGGAATTTTAAAAGAGCACTTAAAATGGGAAAATTATAAGTAAAATGGTAAATGGGACAGGAAAAATTTAGGTACTTAGGCGGGTTGGGTAAATAAGCGGGAGGTACTTAAAAGAGGAATTTTCTTCAGATTACATTAAAAAAATTACGGCGCCCAAAAATGTTGGTTACTTAAGCGGGTTAGGTACTTAAGCGGGGTTCACTGTGTATTAAAATTAAAACTCTGAAATTGCATTGTATAAGTGTTGGCTATTCTTGATACCTTCATGTTATTTTGTTTCGATTAATGCTTAGAAACGTTCCATTCCGAATGCAAATGGCGCGTAAGCAAAGAGAAAATAGGCAAGTAAGTCTTTGCAAATTTACTTGGAAAAAGTGTAGCTTTGGTGTGAAATAGAAGTATAAGCTTTTTTGCAATATGTTTATTTGTAAATGCATACGAAGCATATTTAATTGATGAAAACATAAATTGTTTTTAAATTGAATGTTTACATCAATCTCATAGTAGTATTATTTTAATGTTGAGTCTTTTTGCAGTTTTTATACAGCTAAATAGCACATAAATGACGTAATTCACGTAGATATATAAATATTACGTTAATATTTCGTTTAAAATGCCAGATCTCCTGCGAATACTTTAGAATTTATAAAAGGAATTTCACTACTAACTGCCTAGTTTACGTACGTTTCTACTACCATTTTCGCAACAAGGGATTGCATTCTTTGCCTTTCTCTACTCTTCGTAAATGCAACCGTTTGTAAGGGAGTGTCAAACCGCGGCTGTCAATAATTATCTAACCTTGTATTATTGAATCATGACCGTGCAGTAATTAGATCTCCGATAAACTCAGACGGTGTATTCTCTCTCATAAAAAAAAATAAATTACTAATTTCAAAATGCAGTGGAAAACATACATCTGTATCCACGGGAAAATACCATAAAAGGGCTAACTATAATATGAATAAGCTGCCGTAACTGACTCAGAAAATGAACGAAAACTCTGTCAAATGCATAAGCAACGTAGCGTAGACTTTTAGGTGGCTATATTTTACTTACATGAGTTCAGTGTTGCCACATTTATTTAGATATAACAATAGCCACTATCAAGCAGTTTGTTGTAGATCACACAATTATAGTAACCTAGAAACGCCGAAGAACTGTTCACCTTGCGAAACTTTCAGGATAACCTGGTGTTTCTGTAAAAGGAAACGCTTACGGCCCACTTCCTAATGTGGAACCAGAACCTCTTTTGACCTGTGTTACATGTAGGACTGAAACGAAAAAGTTACCAAGTTGAAAAATAAGTTACCAAATTACCAAATATGATAAATAAAGAAAGAAATTACCAATTTCGGTAAAAAAAAATACAATGCGGCAACACTGCATGTGTTACATATATACATACATACGTACGAGGACAAACAGCTGATTCTCAGTGATTTTGACAGAATCAGCTGTTTTGGCGACGTCATAGTAGAGAAGACAGCAGTAGTGATGTGCTGAGTCAATACTTTTAAGTACCCAATACTCTCGATACTCGGTACCGAAACATTTAGGTTTCGAATAAAAGCGCACATAGGCCAAAAATATGGAAAAAACACCTAACAAAACCCGAATGTAAGAGCCAATAGAGCTTTTTTACAAGCTTTTATTTAACTTCACTTGTATGTATGTATGTATGTATGTCCTGGAACTTTGCAGTCAATATTTAACAAACTTCCCGATGAGCTACAGACTTGAAACTTCAAACTTAGCTCAGAACTCGAGGACAATACAATTTAAAAGATGTTTTAATCCGCTAGGTGGCGCAGGAGTCGAGATATTTGTAAAACCCGCATTTATGGTCTGATTTGGTTCGTATTTAGAACATTTATTACGTATATGAAAAGAAATTAATCCGAAAAAAATTTTGCCGATAGGTGGCGCAGGAGTCGAGATATTTGGAAAACCCGTATTTATGATCC